TATAAAACATAAGAGATGTAAACAATTTCTATATTTTTCTTCTTCTTCGTCACCAAAATTTTGGCTACTTTACCTCCAAGAAACAAAGTTAAGAGACTACAAATGAATGACCCATAATTTATACATATGCATAACAATTAAAATTAAATAATCAAGTAAACATTGTTTATATTCATCGTATTCACATTGACTTATGGTATATTATATCTAAAATATAAGATTTTTTCGTCACCAGCCCGAAGTTTTAGGTTTTTTTATCACTATGCAAAAAACATAATAGACTATAGTAGATGTAAAAAATTAATTATATTTTATTTTTCTACTCCATCACAAAATTTTAGATTTTTCCCCATGAAAAACAAAAGTTAAAGGACTATAATCCATGACATAAATTTTTTATAAAATAGGTAATAATTAAATTAGATAATCAAGCTAGAATTTATTTATATTTACCATAGTTAACATTGAATTATGCTTTATTAGATGTAAGTATATTCAACACGTTTCTTCTCAGTCACCAAATTTTGTCTTTCTTCGTCAGTAAGCCACATAGTTAAAAGACTATAAAACATAAGAGATGTAAACAATTTCTATTGTTTTCTTCTTCTTCGTCACCAAAATTTTGGTTTCTGAACCTCCAAGAAACAAAGTTAAGAGACTACAAATGAATGACCCACAATTTGTACATATTCATAACAATTAAAATTAAATAATCAAGTAAACATTGTTTATATTCATCGTATTCACATTGACTTATGGTATACTACATCTAAAATATTAGAACTTTTCTTCATCATCCCAAAGTTTTAGGTTCTTTCATCACTATGCAAAAAACATAATAGACTATAGTAGATGTAAAAAATTAATTAAATTTTATTTTTCTACTCCATCACAAAATTTTAGATTTTTCCCCACGAAAAACCAAAGTTAAAAGACTATAAACCATGACAAATATTTTTTATAAAATAGGTAATAATTAAAATAAATAATAAAGCTAGAATTTATTTATATTTACCATAGTTAACATTGAATTATGCTCTATGAGATGTAAGTATATTCAATATTATTCTTCTCCGTCACCAAATTTCGTCTTTATTCTTCAGTAAGTTACACAGTTAAAAGACTATAAAACATAATAGATATAAACAATTTCTATGTTTTTCTTCTTCTCCGTCACCAAAATTTTGGTTTCTTAACCTCCATGAAACAAAGTTAAGAGACTACAAATGAATGACCCATAATTTATACATATGCATAACAATTAAAATTCAATAATCAAGTAAACATTGTTTATATTCATCGTATTCACATTGACTTATGGTATATTACATATAAAATATTAGATTTTTTCTTCACCAGCCCAAAGTTTTAGGTTTTTTTATCACTATGCAAAAAACATAATAGACTATAGTAGATGTAAAAAATTAATTATATTTTATTTTTCTGCTCCCTCACAAAAGTTTAGATTTTTCCCCACGAAAAACCAAAGTTAAAAGACTATAATCCATGACATATATTTTTTATAAAATAGGTAATAATTAAATTAAATAATCAAGCTAGAATTTATTTATATTTACCATAGTTAACATTGAATTATGCTTTATTAGATGTAAGTATATTCAATACGTTTCTTCTCACTCACCAAATTTTGTCTTTCATCGTCAGTAAGCCACATAGTTAAAAGACTATAAAACATAATAGATGTAAACAATTTCTATATTTTTCTTCTTCTCCGTCGCCAAAATTTTGGTTTCTTAACCTCCATGAAACAAAGTTAAGATACAACAAATAAATGACCCTTAATTTATACATATGCATAAAATTAAAATTAAATAATCAAGTAAACATTGTTTATATTTAACGTATTCACATTGACTTTTGGTGTATTACATCTAAAATATTAGAATTTTTCTACACCATCCCAAAGTTTTAGGTTTTTTTATCACTATGCAAAAAACATAATAGACTATAGTAGATGTAAAAAATTCATTATATTTTCTTTTTCTACGTCATCAAAAAAATTTTAGATTTTTCCCCACGAAAAATGAAAGTTAAAAGACTATAATCCATGTCATATATATTTTATAAAATTGGTAATAATTAAAATAAATAATCAAGCTAGAATTTATTTATATTTACCATAGTTAACATTGAAGTATGCTTTATTAAATGTAAGTATATTCAATATCTTTGTTCTCAGTCACCAAATTTTGTCTTTCTTCAACAGTAAGCCACATAGTTAAAAGACTATAAAACATAATAGATGTAAACAATTTCTATATTTTTCTTCTTCTCCGTCGCCAAAATTTTGGTTTCTTAACCTCCATGAAACAAAGTTAAGAGACAACAAATGAATGACCCATAATTTATACATATGCATAACAATTAAAATTAACTAATCAAGTAAACATTGTTTATATTCATCGTATTCAAATTGACTTATGGTATATTACTTCTAAATTATTAGATATTTTCCCTTATCATCCCAAAGTTTTATATTTTTTTTTATCAATATGCAAAAAACATAATAGACTATAGTAGGTGTAAAAAATTAATTATATTTTATTTTTCTACTCCATCACAAAATTTTAGATTTTTCCCCACGAAAAACCAAAGTTAAAAGACTATAATCCATGACATATATTTTTTATAAAATACGTAATAATTAAAATAAATAATCAAGCTAGAATTTATTCATATTTACCATAGTTAACATTGAATTATGCTTTATTAGATGTAAGTATATTCAATATGTTTCTTCTCCGTCACCAAATTTCGTCTTTCTTCGTCAGTAAGCCACATAGTTAAAAGACTATAAAACATAATAGATGTAAATAATTTCTATGTTTTTCTTCTTGTCCGTCGCTAAAGTTTTGGTTTCTTAACCTCCAAGAAATAAAGTTAAGAGACAACAAATGAATGACCCATAATTTATACATATGCATAACAATTAAAATTAAATAATCAAGCAAATATTGTTTATATTCATCGTATTCACATTGACTTATGGTATATTACATCTACAATATTAGATTTTTTCTTCACCAGCCCAAAGTTTTAGGTTTTTTTATCACTATGCAAAAAAACATAATAGACTATAGTAGATGTAAAAAATTAATTATATTTTATTTTTCTACTCCATCACAAAAGTTTAGATTTTTCCCCACGAAAAACCAAAGTTAAAAGACTATAATCCATGAAATATATTTTTTATAAAATAGGTAATAATTAAAATAAATAGTCAAGCTAGAATTTATTTATATTTACCATACTTAACATTGAATTATGCTATATTAGATGTAAGTATATTCAATATGTTTCTTCTCCGTCACCAAATTTCGTCTTTATTCTTCAGCAAGCCACATAGTTAAAAGACTATAAAAGATAATAGATGTAAACAATTTCTATGTTTTTCTTCTTCTCCATCACAAAAATTTTGGCAACTTAACCTCCAAGAAACAAAGTTAAGAGACTACAAATGAACGACCCATAATTTATACATATGCATAACAATTAAAATTAAATAATCAAGTAAACATTGTTTATATTCATCGTATTCACATTGACTTATTGTATATTACATCTAAAATATTAGAACTTTTCTTCATCATCCCAAAGTTTTAGGTTCTTTCATCACTATGCAAAAAACATAATAGACTATTGTAGATGTAAAAAATTAATTATATTTTATTTTTCAACTCCATCACAAAATTTTAGATTTTTCCCCACGAAAAACCAAAGTTAAAAGACTATAATCCATGACATATATTTTTTTATAAAATAGGTAATAATTAAAATAAATATTCAAGCTAGAATTTATTTATATTTACCATAGTTAACATTGAATTATGATTTATTAGATGTAAGTATATTCA